AGTCCGCGCAGGTAGGTACCACCACCCTGCCTATTTCGGCCGTGAAGCAGTAATGCGTTTCGGTTTGAAGGGTGGGGCAGCCGTTGTAACTATACTTGAGACCTTAGAACTTATATCTCAAGGTGGGTGGCGCATTTACGTCGTAGATGTCTATGGGCTCCAGTAACCACTTAACACCAGGTGGACTGTGAGCTTGTCCACCCATCTAAGCAATAAAAAAAAATAAAAAAAAACTCTGACCTCAAAGACGCTGCAATGGATGGATAATGGAAACATTAATAGATTGAGGTAGCCACAGTGCATACTATTAATAAACTAACGAGTCCCACGATGTTACCCGCGGTTATTGTCGTACCGCGGGTGACGCCGCAGGGCGAAGCTAGTCTAAAAAAAGTAACCCAAGTTACTCCTTATATCAGCTACCTATCAGTGAAACTCTCGTCAAAATCGGTCCAGCCGTTCCAGAGATCAGCCGGAACAAGTAGACCGACAGATAAACAGACAGACAGACAAATATTGTAAAAAATGTTATTTTGGTGTATGTACCGTATATATATTCTTATGCATGTAGTAAAAGCGGTTATTTCATTTACAAGCAGACATCCAATTTTATTTATATGCATAGATTTGATAAAATTTGTAAAATACTAAGATTATAAATAATATAAGAATTTAGTTCTAAATACTGCATAAGCACGTCCATTACAAAGTTACCAAGACAGGTGCAAACATAACGTAAGTTCAAGGGAAACTTTATTCAGCTTAATGAAGCTTCCTGTATAACGGCAGCATGGCTTTTTACGACTTTAGTCCTTCAAGTTTTGTCTCAGCCGTGAAATGGCGTAGCTTTAGGTTTTTATTCCCATCACTTACCTCATTCTAGCAAGACACGATCTAATTATTACACCAGTTTCCCCAATTTGGAAAAGCAATTACATGTTTCAATTGTATTTTCATAAGGGATTTCAAAGACTCCTTTTTAATGATATTCGTTAAGAGAAATCTAATGAGACTGAATTGGCGAGTTTTGTTGTGCTAAAGAGTTCTTTCACTTATAGTCCAAGCCCTTATAGAATTATGGGTCATGAGATATGTTGACATCGTTCAGATTCGTTTGTGTTATCACCGCAGTGGATTCTCATTTTCACATCACTTAAAATCATGAGACTGAATTGCCAGCTTGTAAAATGTAATAATTATAATCCTTCAAAAATCCTTAGTCGCCTATATGACACCTACGCTTTTTCAACACGCCTTGCTTTTCTGATGACAATGAGAATTAGTGTCCACCGTCATGTAGACTGTATGATGTGCCTGATAAGGCCCACGAATGTGAGGTAAGATGGGGCTAAGCGACACCCTATAAGTTCGCATTAGACAAACTATCAAAATCAAATTTGATTATTCCGGCATTACTCACACTTCTTGTTTTGAGAATTTGAAGTTTATTTCATTTACTTCGCGTGCAATATATAAATAAACACCCTTCAGATAAACGGAGCGCCTAGCGTTATCGCACTGAAGCACCAAGCACCGAAACATCTCGTGTATTCGTGTCACAGTTGAAAAATAATAGCAATGTTCCACTCTAACGTCATTGAAATAAATAAAAGGGTTCATGAGCCTTATTTTCGCTTCTACAATAAATCATTATCTTCTGTTAAATCTTAAACGAACAATATATTTTTTAATCACTTCATGGTATAAAACAAAGTCGCTTTCTCTGTCCCTATATCCCTATGTATGCTTAAATATTTAAAACTACGCAACATATTTTGATGCGGTTATTTTCTATACTAATATTATAAAGAGGAAAGATTTGTTTGTTTGTTTCGAATAGGCTCCGAAACTACTGGACCGATTTGAAAAATTATTTTTCCATTAGAAGCCGACATTGCCCCTGATGAACATAGGCTACTTTTTTAATAAATTTTTTTATTTATTTTTTTGGTTTCATGTGTGTTTTAATGTTTCCGAAGCGAAGCGAAGCGAGGGCGGGTCGCTAGTAATAGATAAAGTGATTAAAGAGGAAGGTTTATATGTATAATAACATCCATTAAATAGTGGAGAAATCAATAATAAATTGCAGTTTCCGAAGCGAAGCGAGGGCGGGTCGCTAGTTGCCTATATACGAATTCGTGATAAAACATAGTTGAGACATTATTAAAGAAAACTAAAAAGGTTAATAGAAGCCGCCGAAATAACTGCAATTTCTTTGATCTAGGTCTCAGCACATCTCAAAAGTACTTAAAAGATGACTCCCTCTCTTTCACGCACCATAATTTTTTTTTTATGTTTTATATATATCTCGTTTTATCATCGCTTAGCGAAGGTGATGTTTTTGTCGTGACGCTGAGATTGAACATATTGTTACGCGCTGGGGTTCGGGATAAATAAATGTTCCATCAAAGTACAACTTAAAACTGTATTTATCATTTAGAACACACACAGAACACTTTAAAATTCTCAATTCGCTTCTTCTGCTTCGTTTCAGGTGATCCATTCGCTGTTTCGGTTCGAGTAGTTCCGACTCACTGACTGCGTGCCATCTCTGCAATGCTTTTATAGTCGATACGACATCCCTAGAATCGTCGAGAACATTCCTCACAAGTCGACAGATTCCGATGTGTGTTTAACGCCATCTGACAATAGATGGCGTTATACTTCTCGAGCCTTCTAGATACTACTAGATCCTTCGATATTCTATCGGCTATTCGACGATAGATGGCGTTACTCTTACCGACGTAACCATTACTGGTGGTAGGACCTCTTGTGAGTCCGCACGGGTAGGTACCACCGCCCCGCCTATTTCTGCCGTGAAGCAGTAATGCGTTTCTGTTTGAAGGGTGGGGCAGCCGTTGTGACTATACTGAGACCTTAGAACTATATCTCAAGGTGTGTGGCGCATTTACTTTGTAGATGTCTATGGGCTCCAGTAACCACTTAACATCAGGTGGGCTGTGAGCTCGTCCACACATCTAAGCAATAATAATAATAAATAATATATATATTTAATGTTGTTTTGATGGAAACATTTTGATGGAGACTAGAGGTGTTCATAAAACAGTTTACGCTATGATTGTAGGCTTATTGAAGTATTTTTGTTAGAGGCATAAAAAGATACTGATTAAATGCGTGCTATTTATAGAGCAAGTTATATACAAAAAACTTAACGAGCCCCGAAAGTCAATTAAGATACTGTGACCCAAATACAAAAGCCAGTAGGTTCCCAAATAAATAGACTAGATAGATGTTAAGTTTTTTTATACAAAATATTTCTAAGGGCAAAAAAAAAAACTTTAATAACACTGTTATTCTCAGAGCATTTTATACATATGAATCGACTATTATCAAAGCCGGCAATGTGACTTTTAGTCAATTATTGGTAAATCAGAAAAACGAATTATTGACTTTGTATTCCATTGGCAGTCACAAAACTCTTCTGAACGACATCTTAGATAAATAACAGGTTAAGTATTAACCTTTATTTAATGCAGGTTTTGAACCGTATTCTTTGAACGAGACGATTATATTCAAATCAATCTGTATTGACATATCAATAACATTTTTTTGTCCAAATGCACAGATTGCCACCTTTGATTAATAGACGACTCATATTATAGTTATAAACATTGCTCCTTGGTTTGTGCCAAGTTCGTTCTACCTATGATTTGAGAGAGAGAGAATATACTTTATTGCACACTAAAATACAATTAACATTAAGAAAAAATAGTCAACAAGCAGATGTACATAGTTGTACTATAGTCAAAAAATCAGTCTTATCGCTAAAAACGATCTCTTCCAAACACAATTATAATCACCAAGTCCAATAGTTGACTATCAGCATCATCCATTTGGATTCTATGCTCGCGCGTACAAAGATCGCGAGTCTATTCTATCTAAGTCTATATCTATATCTAATTCAAATCACTTGGAATGTTCTGGAAAAGGAGACAGACTGAAATGAGTGATGAAACAACACAGTAATATTTAGAAAATTTTACACCAGCATTTTTCTCACACTAGAAAAGTCCGCTTGAAGCGACATCAATGTCCTTGGCTTCTCGCGGTTTTAATTTTAAGAATGTTGTTTGGCGGCAATTCTTTCACTTATCTTCTCGCGGCTCGTGGTATCCCCACTAATGCTCAAACATTGGCCGTTGTGTTAGATGATAAAACTGTGGTACAAATTCGAAGAATTAGCGATTAATGTTTAGTGTACACAGACAAGAGGAAATTTATGAGGAATAATTATTATACGTTATTAAATTGATAGAAATTATGAAAATCTGAAGTAGAGATCAGGAGGCAACACGGCCTGTGGAGTATATTGTTACGCGCTGGGGTTCGGGATAAATAAAATTTCACCAAAGTACAAATAAAAACTGTATTCAACATTTAATTTTAGAACACTTAAACACTTCACAAATACTTTAAATTCTCAATTTGATTCTTCCGCTTCAGGTGATCCGTTCGCTGTTTCGGTTCGAATAGTTCCGATTACTGACTGACTGCGTGCCATCTCTACAGCACTTTTATAGCCGATACCCCATCCCTAGAATTATCGAGAATATTCCACACATATCTAGTAGTAGTTTCCGCTATCTGACGATAGATGACGTTGTGCTTCTCGAGCGTTCTAGATGCAACTAGATACTTCGATATTCGTTCGACTATTCGGCGATAAATGGCGTTACTCTTACCGGCATAACAATATAATTACTGATGAGCCGTTGAGAGGCAGCCAAACAACAATAGGCACACGATAGGCCATCATTATCAGAAGTGGCAGCACATCGTAATATCTACTGATCATTGTGGTGTTGATAAATAAATTCATAAATGTCTATGGGAGGAACAAAACATGGTTATCTTCGTTTTTTTTTGGAATCAGTTTTTAAATTAAAATTCAAAATTTTAAAACGCTTTAATCTTATCGCTCGCACCAAGCCCGCCTCACTTATCTCCGAATATCGGCCGCTATCTCAATACATGAATGTAGTGCAGCGTAATTTTAATCAAAAAGGAGTCATCTTCGTACTGTTTCACGGCATAAAAGTTACAGTGAGCTAATCGGAAATGAAGCTGCCTTGCATTATACCAGGATGCTCAAGGATCGTGAGTAGAGTTTTATCGTTCTGTTTTAAATTGTAAATTTTTGTGTTCGTTCTGAGATAACAAAAGTGAGGTTATGTTTTGTAAACTTTCGTATCGATTTTGTAATTTTATCACTGATTTTGTTCTTTGTTAGTAGTCTGATAGTAGGACATCTTGTGACTCTAGGTACCACCATCCTGCCTATTTGTGCCGTGAAGCAGTAATGCGTTTCGGTTTGAAGGGCGGGGCAGCCGTTGTACTGTTAAAACTGAGACTTTACAACTCATGTCTCAGGGTAGGTGGCGGCATTCACGTTGTAAATGTCTATGGGCTCCAGTAACCACTTAACACCAGGTGGGCCGTGGTACTTTTGTACGTGGTAAGTACTTGATACTAAGTATCTGACACTAAACCAGCCGCGCCATCTTCTTATTTAGTATAATCAACAAAACGTTAACCTAATTTTAAAATCATTGCATTATCTATTTAAGATTCATGCTTTGGATTCGTTCAACCAAGATTACTTGTGTAAAATGTTTATTATTGTGCAAAATTTAATGGTTATACCCAAAGTGTTACGTCGACGTAAATTCTGAAAACACAATTTTCATCTTTAATTCAGGGTAGGTTTGGTTAATATTCCACTAACATATAATTATGCTGTATCTAATGCATTCACCGAAACATTCTTTGATAACGATTTCAATTACTATTTTGAGGGCTCATTTTTTGCATTGCGATTTGCAAAAGTTGTACATGTAACCAGATGGCAAATTTTAATTGCTTGTTAGAGATCGGTCAAACTTAGGGCCTGATGTAGATAAACTTACGGCCTGATGTAGACAAACTTACAGCCTGGCTATTTTAGATGTTATTGTCTCCCACTTCAAGGGAAGAATAATCTGAATCTAAAGTTTTACCATACCCAAATTCACAGCGGGATTGATGAAAAATTATCTACGCACTAATTACCTACTGAGTTTGAAACCTTTTCGTGTGGTCACCAATGTAAATCGGCCTACACAGGACTTATAAATAATAAAAAAACAAAATAAGCCAGTTATAATTAGGCAGCGAATTATGAGTCCTCGAAAACGCGTTAATTAAAACAACTTATTTATGGTCGTTAATTGCAAGGCTTAACTTCCGTCCGCCCTTTTGTTCGCAATTTATGTTTTAAAATTTGAACTTTCAAGTTGTTTGACAGAGTTCAATGACATCTATTTGGTGGAGCGATTACAAAGTAGATTCTGAGAAAATGAAGGCTTAACGAGAGTCAACAATAATTGTTTCAGAGCGAATATACATGGTACCTAATATTTTGAGAAGTTAAGTTAAGTTTCGTAGTTATGATTTTATATCTAGTGCCCTGTAAAATAGGGTTCAGGTTTTTTATGAAACATTACTGCGTTCGGTTTTGAAGAGGTCAAACAATTGATACTTTTCTGCCCAATATTCACGTCACTTTTTGATATCTATGGTTCTCAGTGAGTACATAAAACGAGGGGGATCTGAACACATTTGCAAATTTAATGAACAAAAATATAGGAAAAATACGATTACAAGCTTTACCAAAGCTCTTAACATCATAACACAAATTCTGTCATATTTTTCTTAGTTGAATACTCTTGCCGGAGTAGTCGTGGCTGCTTACTGGTGATAGGACCTCTTGTGAGTCCGCACTGGTAGGTACCGCTACCTTCCCTATTTCTGCCGTGAAGCAGTAATGCGTTTCGGTTTGAAGAGTGGGGCAGCCGTTGTAACTATGCTTGAGACCTTAGAACTTATATCTCAGGGTGGGTGGCGCATTTACGTCGTAGATGTCTATGAGCTCCATTACCACTTAACACCAGGTGGGCTGTGAGCTCGTCCACCCAGCTGAGCAATAAAAAAATAAAAATAAAAAATTGTATCGCCAGGCAAACTTGCTCTGCATCTCTTTGTGTCCATCACATAGCTCTCATAGGATAATAATATAGTAGTTTCTCCTTGCTTTCGCGGTACTATGACCTCAGTGGCTATAATAGTCCACCGTGAACCGGTTCATAAATCACCTCATTGCGCTTCACTTGGGTACTGATGGCTATCGCTGCCCTCCATCAGGTTCGAGGTACTATGCCTCTGTGGCTTGCTTCCTCCACTGCATCGCTTCCTGGACGCTCTGACACCTGCCGTCTCCGCCCATTTCACCCTTGAGGTCATCACCTGTAACCCTGGGTAAGGGTTCTATGTTATATCCTATAGCGTATTATATATTCTGTCATATACCTGAGACATATAGTTGGCTGCCCTACCATTGAAAATGGAATGCATGGCTAATTTGCTCCATAAATAGGCACTGTAATAACATCTTTCCGAGCGATACCGAATAAGTTGTGTTGGGGCGCCACTAATAAATACGCCACGGTTTAATAGTACAGACTCGTTACGCATTCTAAGCACAACAATTCGTCAACTTTCATTCCTTGAAACATATAATAGATACGAGTTCTCAATCACATTCGATTTTACGGGATTCAATGATTCGAAATAGAAACAGTAAAAATCATATTAAAGTTTCAACATTTAAAAACATCGTAAATATAGTATTAAAATATTTAAAAAAAATTAAAATTTAATCTTACGCTTGTAACTTCAAAGATATAATATAATAAAAATAAAAATCAGAAGATTAAGCAGAGTATCAAAATGATATAATTTTCAACAATGGGTGAAGAGCTAGTTTTTGACCGTAAAAAATAATAGTTCCATCAATTTACGTATGAATCATTGTAAAGGTTTTCCCACACTCATTAGGGTCAATGACCAGATATTAATGAACACAAAAATAACGCTAACATTCATTCGTACGTGTTCTATCATTTTGCGTGACTTTAACGTTTTTTCGACAGTTGCATCTCATTCGCTTTGTTTGATATAACGTATGTACCATTGTGTCTTATTTATCATTATTTAATCTGTGCTCATGAACGTTCGAAATTCAAACGTAGCCGCCATTTTGCATTTTAAATGTTTCTAAAATGGCGCCGGATTTGAAAAAGATGTAGTTTTGTAATAATGAAAGAAACAAACAACATGTTTGTAAGTTTTTATATCATATTATTCAATAATACAACCGTGTTTTAGTCTAATTTTAAAACCGTGAACGCGGTTTCCCGGGTTCTGTTAATAAGTCTTAGTCAATTTCTCGTTAACCTAATTAAAGTTTAAAATTGACACCGGCCTTACCTTAGCAGTGTCGAACAAAGAAAAGGAGTTCAATTCCCCCAAATATTTTTATTTAGACCCTCCTTAAAGCGATATTGGCCCACTTATTTGTACATTAATAGCTATTCCCAAACATTAGATAAAGTAATTCTTAAGTCAACCGCTGTTTAAGACGTATAAATAAAAAATTAAAGTCGACTCTAGCAGAAATGGCTCCATAAAAACAGATTGCATTTACTTTACTTTCGCAATAACGTTAACTAATATTATTTTCAACTACTGCAATTGAACTCCTCAATATTAACATTAAATCACTTCTTTTATTACGATATGTTTGCCATTACTTTTAAGATTTTATTTAGAATTTGCCTCGTCTCGTTAGTTCAATGTCACGAATTTTAAAATAAATGCTTATTATTTTATTTTATTATTTTATTATAATTATCTTGTTTGAAAAATAGCTAACGTTTACTTAATTCTTTTAAAGCCACTCGTCATATAGTGCGTGATTTCTTCAAGCGCAGACCATAGCCACCTTGCATGAAATAGTGAAGTAAAAGATAACAGAAATAAGATATCAATATGTGATTATAAACATTTATCGGTTGATAGATAACCAATCAATGACTCTTCTATTTAGTTATTACCTTGGTAGATACTATGAATTTTACGAAACAACAATGATTTCACTCGGATTTCTTGTTACTGTTTCATTGTCAAAGAACTTTTTTACTACGGTTACTATTGTGTTTCTTGGAATATCCAAAAGGGATTTAAAAAAGTCTGTAAGAATTAGTAGTAGTATATACTATACTTTAGCCAATTTGATTATTAATTCAGTCATACATTTGTCATTTCATATTTTGAAAATTTATTGTACGTGCGTAAAAACATTGAAGAATTCCCCAGAGTCTGCGATTTGCACAATGTGAACACTAGGAACAAACATAGGCTTACGTTGCCGGCGGCTCGAATTAAGAAAATAAGCAACTCTTTTAGGGGGCTGGGTGTACAACTTTTCAACAACAACTTTTCAAACTTCGATTTTATGACCTGGCAACTAAGACCGTTAAGTCATGTCTTATTTAAATTTATATTATTCATATTTTTATGAAAAATGATATTATGGAGTGAAATGAAATGAAGATGATTAATTTGAGACACTAATCAACTGGGATGAAATGAAATGAAATGAATTGAGATGATATGGGATGAAATATAATCTCAGTAAAATGGTGGTCACTTACTAAGATTTTTTCAGTGGACTTTTTGGAGGATCCCGAGACGTTACGTCCAACAGCTTTGTTTCATTTTCTCACATTTGTGCACTTTCACAGATATTAAACAGTTAATAAACCACCATTATTACACGTTTAAACCCGAAGAAACACTAAATAGACAAAATAAAACAAATCACACAACTTCACTCCTCGCGTTCCCGCCAAAAAGTCCTTTTGGCGCTAAAAAAAAACTCCTATCACAGACTATCTTCCTTTTTCCATTCCTCGTGCGTTCCGGCTTATGCATCATAAAAAGGTGCGTTCTTAAACGCCACAGGTACTTCAATCTCGTTAACGTAGGTGGCGACATTTATATCATTATGTCTATTTGCATAAAGGCCTGATATTAACCCGACTAGCACAACTTGTGTTAATTCTGAAGTGCCTTGTCTTTGCACTATTTGTTTTTCGTTAAAGCAAAGAGGGATAAAAAAAAAACTGACACCCACTATAGAGCATTGCAGTCTAAACCATCATCTACTATAACCACTGTATGGTGCAAAAGAGAAAGAACAATATAATTTAAGTTTTCGA